AAGGGAGAGTTAGTCAATATAGACTTATCTATGAAGATACAAATATTATTATTTTAAGTCTGAATGGTGACTCTAACCATATAACCATACATAGCTTTATTCATGGCTAGAGTATCAGAAGCACGAATCCATGAAGCTAGTGCAAAAGCTGAAAGATTATGAGAAACGAGATCAATATAAATTTGCAGCCTTTCTCTTGAACTCAGAGCAATACAAAAATATGCAAAGCAAAACAGACAGGTTAAAGTATAAATAAATAGTAATAAATAAAACAAAATATCGCCCAAGCCTGTCGAAAATAAACAAGACTGGTAAATAGAAGTGCTAACCCACAAAAATCCCGTTCAAGGTCAATGTCGTGAATGACAAACGAACTGGCAATTGCATCTAAACGTAAAATAAACAAAATAAAGCCACGAGCAGTCAGAAACCACTCGGCTGCATGCACTTCTATATATATATATGAGCATATACATATATATCTATATCAAAAATCAAAAGCCATGAGCAAAAAATATGTGCTGGAATATGCAACAAATGAATGAATTATTCGCAGCGTTTAGAAATAGAAACATATCATACGAGACAACAAAATAGAAAATAGAATACACCAATGCGAATAGCAAACAAAAACAGCGAGGACTTTCACCTGACATATACGCTGGCTGTCTGCTGCTTGTCTGCGCTTCACTGGCAGCTCCCACAACAAATAGCGAGTAGCGAAAAGCAAATAGAAAATGGGGAATAGAAAAAATATGCAATGCTCTATAAAATCGCAGACACTGTCGGCAAGAGAGCGCCGATTTTATATAGGGGAAAAAATCTAATCGAAGCACCGCAAAAACGAGCAGGCAAAATGGAAAATGGAAATAGTCAAATTGAAAAAAAGCTAGCCACAGAGTGGAAAACGAGAGGAGGCCAGAGTTCAGGGCGTGCGCTGCATAAAATCTGAAAAGTCAAATGCGTGGCGAAAAAATATTTCCGCGTCGGAAGAAACGCTTGCAAAAAAAAAAATGGCGCAAACGAAGCAATTGAAAATGCAAAATAAAAAAAAGGAAGAGAAAACGCCGTTAGATTTAGGACAAACAACAACAAACAAAAAAGGAAGAATTACAAAATGACGCAAAAGCAAGTTAAATTCAATGCGATTGCTGGAGCTGCGACTGCGACTGCGACTGCGAGTGGCGCAACGAGTCGCGACTAAAACGTTTTTGCGGTCGCGTCTCGCAGATTTTGAATTTTTTAAAAGTGTCACCAGACAAAAAGAAAACAACAAAGAAATTGCTCACAAACAAACGAGGCCAGAAAAAAGATGAGCAACAGGCGACACCTTTGATTCCTTAAAGTAAACAAACGCATGACAAAAGGCAGGCAGAAGGGCAAATTGATAGGCATAAGGCCAGTGACACTTGCAATATACACATATAAACAACAAAACCTTATAGCACATATACATATAAATACATTGTAGAGATGCTATAATAAACTTTAGTTGGGCCCATGCCTCAAATTTCTCTTGTAGAATATTTTAATTTCATCTTCAGGGAGTCCCAATTCATTTCATTTTCACTTTAAAATATTGAAGAGTACAGTTATAAAATTTCGCATAATTTTGATAATTATTTCTGATTCCTTTTGTAGAATATTCCAATTTAGTCTTAAGAAATATATTTAAAAGTACAATATTATAATTTGTACAATTTGAATATTTATCTTTAAGATTTATCTATGAATTATATTTCGAGCTCCTGTGCCGATCATTTTTATTCTTAATATTCATATTCATAGTTATTATAATGCTGCTAAATTCAATGAAATTGGAATACAAATTTTAGTAAATAAAAAAAATAGAAAAAATAAAATATTAGAGACTGCTCGGGATCTTAGGCGATAATAATTCTTCGCTTCTTTTCTGAATACATACAGACACATACACTCACACATAATCAAACGCTCTGCTAACTGCGCAGCAACTGCGCTTCAGCTAATATTCGGGCTATGTTATGGGAATTCTTTAGTTAAATAACTTTTCTTGAAGATAGGCAATCAAACTTCTAGAATGTGCTAATGAACTGGGCGTATATTTGCCAAAGCTCATATCTATAAGATTTGAAATACATAAGTATATATAGTTGTAGAATAGTGGGTAAATACATACGATCAGAGAAATTAAATAATTAACAAAGCAAAGTGGCAAAATTTAAAACAAATTTATTCCCAAATGCTCTAAGCCTAATTCAAAATCTCAAAAAAATTAAATACCTAAGTTTTTCAACTCTAAACACCAACAGAGTTTGAATATTTGCAAAATTGAATTTATAAACGAATATAAATAGTTAATTAAAATTACAAAAAAAAAAAAAAAAAAAAAAAATAAATTGCAAAATCAAATAATCGACAAAGTGAAAGCTGTGCATAAAATAACAATACCAAAATAAAACAAATAATTGAAACTATACATAATAATAAATTTAATTAAAAAATAATAAAAAAGCAAACAAAGAAGTGTTAAGAATAATAAAATAAGAAAATAAATTAATGCGTGCCAATTATTTTTCGCAGATATAAAACAAGTGCTAGCAACTAAGTTTGAAGACTATTTGTGAAATTCGAATAATAATAATAATCAAAATAGTAATAATACGAAGCACACTTCAAATAATAAACAGAATCTCCACGAAATGGAGGGCCGTTTGATCGAGTATCGTCCAATTGGCGGCGGCCTCGACTACCATCACAATTCGCCGCTGATTGGGGAGATTCCGCCCGCTGGCGGGGACTACTCCCACGCAGTGCACCGCTCCATAGATCATCTGCGCAACAGCTTGAATGAGCGCGTGGCACTCGGGCCGCTGAGCGTCTTCTCCAATACGCCGGATCTGCGCGGCTCGGTGCTCAGCTATAACCAGCAGCCGCAGCCACAGCCTCAGCCCCAGCAGCAGCAACAGCCGCAGCTGCCGCAGCAGCCCCAACAGCAACAACAGCATCAGTACCATCTGAGCGGCGGCGGAGGAGAGGCACTGCATCAGCCCAAGCCGAGTCTGGAGAGCGGCTCCGCTCTGGCCATTGTGGACGGCAACAGCAACAGCTCGAAGCTTGTCAACGACGCCGTCGTGAGCAGCAGCAGCGGCAGCAATGTGGGCGGCAGCGGCGGCACCACAGCCACGCCCACTGGCTCCACGCGCGGACGCAAGTCGCGCATCTATCCCAATCCCAACCAGCACATCGTGGTCACCAGCAACAGCGTGGACAACGGAGGCATCCGCATGCAGAACGCAACCATCAACGAGCGCAATACGAACGCCAATCCCAATGGCAGCTCGAATCCAAACCCAAGCACAATCGCCTCTAGCGCTGGCAATGGCAACGGCAACGGCAATGGCATCTCATCCTCCACCAGTTCGCCGCATCATATGACACACGATGTAAAGGACACCAAGGTGAAGGACGAGATATTTCTCACTTGGACAAATTGAGCTTTGAAATTACTTGAATTTATTTTGTTTTTATTTTTAATAAAAATTTATATATATTATTAATGCTCAGCTCTTCCGAATATATATCGAAAATAATATTCACTTACAATATTAACAATAATATAATTGAAAATTACAAGGGGAATCTGTCAGAGAAGACCAAAGATAACACCCTAATACCACTTACCATGAATCTATAAATATATATAAATATATTCGATATTTTAGATCAGATAGATAACTTTTTGTATGCTTATATATTTAAATTTAATATATATTCATTTTTATTTTATTTATTATTGTCCATTTGGACAATGAGCCGCAGGAGGGTTTACAGGGTGGGGTCTTCAATCGTCATCTGCTGAAACCACCGATTTCGAATGAAACGGAAATTATTAAATGGTTATTGTAGATATTTTGATTGAATTTGATTACATGTATGATGGCAAGTGAACTGTAAAACAGTTTGAATTCAATGATAGTGTTGAGCTACCGACATTTTTCGTGTAGCTTCAGGTTAACTCAAAGAAATTGGAGACACTACATTATTACTTTATCTATCTGCTATTATATTTATACGCGTTATATAGTTAATATAGAAATATTCCAAACTGTCAACGTTGTAATATTTCAACGACAATTTAAACTATAATTAAATTAATCAATTAATTTCTATGCGAATCAATCAAATATTGAGTCCCTTTAAGATCGTCAACTTAGCTGATCAAAAGACATTTCTTCTAAAAAATAGAGGGAATATGTAATTAATAAACAAACTATATAGATTTCATACAAAAGGGCCAAGTTTTATTCTTAAATCACAATGTTAAACGTAGCTTATGTTGCTGATAGATTAAATTTGAAATGATTTATCCCTAATAAGTTGAAAATCTTGAAATCTACGAGAGATTTAAATTGCTGTTTTATATCACGCAAATCGAGTTGTACCTTTTATAGATTTCAATTTTGTTTCTTACAATTCGTAATTAAAAAATAAATTTCTTGTTAATTTTCCAGCTTCTCATTGTAATCTCTTAGTTTATCAATTTCGAATATCCAAGTGCAGAGTAAATCTGTACATTTTTATATTACCTAATTAATTGTGCAAAAACAAAACGAAATTTCAGACATTGATATGGGAATAACTAAGTTGCTTTGCGACTCATTCAATGGAATTCTCGATAAACTACAAAATGTTGTAGCTCGTAAAATATTGTGGTCCCTCGTAATTTTTTACTATCGGGACTCCACTGTATTCTATATAATATTATATGTAAATTACAATTTTGTAAAACATGCACAGTTCAATTGCCTGACTTGGGATTTGGTGTCAGATTTATAGTAGAAATTCCACAGGGCTCCTCATCCACATTATCCACAGCTTGACCCTCCATACTTGTTAATGATCAAGACCTGAATACCAACTTAGACTAAGGTCAATGCAATGCCAGACTGCAACAGCTTGTAGCACATCCTTGCCAGCTCTGGTTCGGTCTCTCACAAATGTTCTTCCGTCTATTGCAGATCTTCAGCTCGAAGGCGGACCTGCAGCTGCACACGCAGATCCACATGCGCGAGGCGAAGCCCTACAAGTGCACGCAGTGCTCGAAGGCGTTCGCCAACTCGTCGTATCTGTCGCAGCACACCCGCATTCATCTGGGCATTAAGCCATACCGCTGCGAGATATGCCAGCGCAAGTTCACGCAACTGTCGCACCTGCAGCAGCACATACGCACCCACACGGGCGACAAGCCGTACAAATGCCGGCATCCCGGCTGCCAGAAGGCCTTCTCCCAGCTGTCGAATCTGCAGTCGCACTCGCGCTGCCATCAGACGGACAAGCCGTTCAAGTGCAACTCGTGCTACAAGTGCTTCTCGGACGAGCCGTCGCTGCTGGAGCACATACCCAAGCACAAGGAGTCCAAGCATCTGAAGACGCACATCTGCCAATACTGCGGCAAGTCCTACACCCAGGAGACATACCTGACCAAGCACATGCAGAAGCATGCGGAGCGCACGGACAAGCGGCCGCCCATTGTGCCCGGCAGTGCCGCAGCCGTGGCCGCTGCAGCCGCCGCTGCGGCCGCTGCCACACCCACTGCAGCAGGCAGCAACACACAGCAGCAGCAGCAGCAACAACAACAACAACAGCAACATCAGCGCAATAATCTGGTTCTGCCGCCCGTTTCGATAGCGCCCAGCGAGAACAGTTACTGGCCCAAGGTAAGTCCGGACTCTGCAGCTGCGGCCAATGCCATGGAGGTAATGCACCAGCAGCAGCAACAGCAGCAGCAGCAGCAGCAACAGCAGCAACAACAACAGCAGCAGCAACAGCAGCAGCAGCAGCAGCAGCAGCAACAACAGCAACAGCAGCCGCATCTCCATCACACACAGCTCGGCGTTCCGCCGCAGCAACACGGCCCGCCACAGCAGCAGCAACAACCGCAGCACCACCACCCACAGCAGCAACAGCAGCAGCAGCAGCCACCGCCCCAGCACAGCATGGAGGCGCACTACGCCCAACCCACAGCGGCCAACAGCAACCAAAGCAATGGCCATGCGCCGGAGCAGTTGCAGTCGCATCATCGCATCATGCCCGATCCGGTGCGCGAGGATATAGGTAATCATAGACACTCACTTATATAATCATTGCCCGAGCAGGCCAGTCAACCCTATTTATTGTTTTCAATCGACAGCAGCCACGCCCAGCACCGTGGGGCCGTACGATGCGGCATCTATAACGAAGACCAGCAGCAACTCGGCCTTTACGCCGATCAACTCGATGCCGCCGCACTTGAACTCGCTGAGCCACCATCCGATGGCGCAGCGCCCCTATCTCTACGATGCCATCAGTTTTCCCAACAAGAACGTCAACCAGAGCAATGCCAACGCGTTTCCCAACCAGTTGATATCGCTGCATCAGATCCGCAACTATGCGCATCAGCCGGCGGGCCTGATGGCCGGCGAGCATCTGCTCGGCGTTAGCGTCGGCCCCGGCAAGGACAAGGGATAGCTAACGTCGTACTTTTAAGTTGGCCACGCCCCGTCTTCTTAAGTTACATAACCGATACATACATACGTACATATATGTGTATATGTACATCGTATTGTGTTGACCGCCGATATGTATGCAATACGAGCTGAGGCCCGTTTAGTTAGTTCTTAGTAGGAGTGTCGCGTATCCTGTACAGTATTAATTCGTAGTTAGTCTCTCCTAGTGCGTACCACTAAACTTAATTAGGTTACACATCAACACACACACATGCAGACATACAGTTACCTATCTTAAGTTAACGATAAACAACACTGTAAATTGCCAACTATACGTATTAATTATTCTAATTTACCAACACCGTCCAACTTCATGCTTAAGCTTCATTCGCACTTGGAGACCCCAACTGAATTACTCATATTCCGAATTTTCTCTCTTTTTCCGTTGTGAATGCCGCTCTTGACATTTAATTAAAGTTGTAATATATAATACATTTTTATTTGGGCAGATAATAGTTCCTTAAATTTCTTTTATAATACGCCGAAGACAAGATTGTAAAGTAACGAAGAGATTGCCACCCGGCTAAAATTCATACATATGGCAACACCAACTTGCACTTTATTCCAATGTCAAATCGAACTATCTGATATCCAAAAGTTGAAGCGAGATCAGCAATTTATGAGGCAGAGCCCAGCAAAATTAAAGTTATCGATTAGTTTTTCCTTAACTCAAAGTTACTTTCAGGTTATTTCTAATAACTATCATTGCAATGCCTTCCCTGTCCTGCTTCCCAGTCCACAGCTCGTGTGAGACTCACGTGTGTATATACTAACGATCGTCGCATTCTTTTGTAAGATTTAGTTTAATTCCGTGCGCAAAACAGATCTCGCAGTTATATCTGAAAATCAAATGGCAGCGTTGAAATCAAAGCTAAATGTAATCTAAACACCTTAAGAGTTATGTACATATGCAACTACTTAGGCTACAGTAGCCAAGACCTAACTAATCCATTATGTAACGCATTGAGTACGAAAGTTTCTCTAAGAAATTTTTCAATTAAACTTTAAAATAACATTTAAAAACAAATGGAGGAAATAAAAACTCAAAGTTGAGCATTGAAATTATCAAGTGTTTATAAACTATAAAGGAAACCATGCGATAGCAACAAAAAAATAATAATAACAATAATTTAAACGAAAAAAAAAAACTATTTTGAATTAAGAGTAAGAACTATGAAATACTAACTAAAACTCGATTTCTAATGTTCAAAACTGCAAGAAGAAAGAAGCTGTTAAGAAATTAAAATATTTTTGGTAAGACTGAAGTGATCAAAATTTAAAAAGAAAAAAAGAGAATAAGTCAAGAGCGAAATCATTTGAATACAAATAAAAATACATGTAATTCAAGTTTTTACTGAAAACTAAGTATTAACTAAGTAAAGTCAACTAAATGTGTCCTAAAATTCATACTAAATGTCAGTAATTAATTAATTACTAATAAATATTGTATTGCAAGGCAAAAGTTCAGCTACAAAAAGAGAAAAAAATTAAATTCAAAAGAATAAAACAAATAGTTAGAATGTAATTCCGAAAAATCTCAATGTAAAAAGCATAAACTGAATTCAAAATAATAATGATAAACAAAACAAACGCAAATAATATGGGGAAAATTAAAATACTATCAATACACATAAGCATAGCAAATGAAAGCCTGGAAAAAGCTTTCATCAATGGTTTATTCCGTGAGCATGGAAAATGCAAACATGAAATTTAGTACTTAAACCCGAATATAAGTAAATAAAATTAAATATATCGAAATATATATAATACTTATGTAATTTTCAAGTAGTGGACGTGTGTGTGTTTTAGTTTATGTACATTAACATTTATTTTTAGCTCTTAAATCAGAATTAATAAAGTGAATTCAGTGTTCAAAGATTCTGCTCGCTCTTTGATATGTCATTTATGATAGCCGTGATAAAATTTCTTACGTTATATTTAATAAATCGGCTGGCCACAAAGTACAAAGTAGGCAAACAAGCGGGTCGTACTCGAGCACCAAAGATGAAAGGTTTTATCACACGAAGTAAGGCTGCCTTATAAGAGTACCGGCTGTAATGAAAATGAGAGTATATAAATTTAATACGTATATATATATAGTTTGGGAATTGGGTCTTTTAAGTACTCACTATGTGACAATATGTATTTCCATGAGATTATGCAGAGTATAGCCATGATCCTCGTCCTCACGAAATTCGATTTTGTGATCGCCCTCAACAACTTTGAAGAAAAGAGGAGAATACGCCTCAGCCGCTTCTGAAAAACAGGCGTCGGCTGTGATTACAATGAATGGTGACAGAATGGTGCCCATGCATTTAAACGTGTAGATCACATCCCCGGGCAAGGTGCGCTGAAACAGGCTCACAGTCCAGGGCGTGATACCGGGATGGTGTGGAGACTTTACTCCACAGATGGGCGTACAAATGGGATTCGCCTCGACGACAGTCCACTCGCCATTCTCATCGCAGACGTGGTGGCCAACTAGATTGTCAGCCGAGTCAGACTCGTAGCCTGGCGCACAGGATACCAGCATTTCTGTGTCCATGAGTGAGCCTTCATTGCAGTCGCCAACATCGCTGCATTTTGTGGAATACGCGATGCTGCGTGAATATGGGCTTGGTTCGCAGTAACGAACACATGATATCAAGTTATTTTCCCAAGCACCGTTGTCGCAGCTGTTGATATTGGAGCCGAAGAGCCTATATCCATCATCGCAAGTGATCTCCACGATACTTTGGTCTGGCACCTGGGCATCCTGCTTGTAGCTGAGCTGGGAAAAGTAATCGGTCACACGCATGCCCTGCTTGGGGACCAAGGCACAGCTCTTGGTGAACCATTCAACTGCCTTCGAGCCAGTCTTTTGTCGGCATATTGCGGGCATTTCGTCACTGCCATCGAAACAGTCGGCATTGTGATCGCACAAGCGGTCTTTGCCTATGCAGCTCCCACTCTGGCATTGAAACGAGCCACTAGCACAAAAGGTAACTCCGCAAATATTCTTATCCTCATCCTCTGCATTTTTACAATCACCAACGCCATCGCACACATTACTCCAGTGCAAGCACCTATTGGTCCTCGGACATTGCATTGCGTACTCGTTGCTATAAAGAATAAAGAGATAACATGTAAGAAAACTTCAGATGACCCAACCCCAATCGATATACCCAAATGCTTGTTGTGAACAAATAAACAGAATTAAAATCTTCCATATTAAGAAGTCGCACTCACAACCCTTTGGCGACCCGCATCGCATCGTCCTGTTTCGCCGGTTGGCTAATTTAATTTACATGATGTCACAGATTCAGTTTCAAACATTCTTTGAGAATGAAAATATAAAATATTTTGCACATTGCTCAAATACACATATATAAACATATTTTTTAATAAAAACATTTAATGATAACAATTTAAAAAAAAAAAACAACAAAAATAAAATAACAATTTCAGTTTAGCTCTCAGAAGTTCTAAAAACGACGCGTTCATACATACAGACAGACAGACAGACGAGCAGGACTAAATCAACTCAGCTCGCCGACCAGATGAAATATATGAACATGTTCCCTTAAGGATCCTCTTAAGCCTGCAATATATGCTGTTATACCCTGTTGTACCCTGGGTAAAAAGAAAAACCGAGCTCCCTACTCACGTGCAGTTTCCTCTCAGATCCGTCAGCAATTCTAATAGCGTTGTCTCGTTCGCACACAAAAATTTATTTTCGTCGCTCGAGTCCCAACAATCG